CAACACGAAACAGATCTGCAGCAACATGAAACAAATCAGCAGCAACATGAAACAGATCTGCAGCAACATGAAACAGATCAGCAGCAACATGAAACAGATCAGCTGCAACATGAAACAGATCAGCTGCAACATGATGTGATTTTTTCACAGTGATGATTCTGGTTAGAGATTCATGAGTCTAACAGCCTCAGGGTAGAAGCTGTTCCTCAGTCTAGTGGTTCTACACTTAATGCTCCTCAACCTCCTTCCTGAGGGGCGCGGGGCAAAAAGTGTGTGTGCTGGGTGAGTGGGGTCCTTCATGATGCAGGTGGCTCTTTTCCTACACCTGCATCTATATAAAATGTAAAAGAAAAACAGTGATAAGATCTAAGATATGAACTAAGAAAAACGTTAATAAAAATACACTAACCACTAGTGGCATAAAAACAATATGCCGAACAGCAGCACGAACATGAGTCTGTGAGCTTTAAGATACTCTTACTAAAACTGTGATATTTAAGGGTCAAAAAAACTAACACGCATATCAGTTTTGTAAATGGGTCGAAGCTGTTCATCATCCATCCATTATATCAAAGTTCATGCTTAATAATCCAGGTACAAAATCCAACAAAGATAAGTCAGGTCCTCTGGACGGTTTCTTTTTGTTGAGACGTTTTGTCCTTCATCCAAAGGACTTCATCAGTCCGAGGAGCCACAAACTCAGTCCCTTTGATGTTTTGAACCAGTTGGCTATGGCTGCCTCAGAGGAGTCAACGGGGAGAGAGCTGGCTCCAGAAACCAAAATTATCACCGGCAAACTTGTTGGTCCACTATGGAAGTGTGCTGCTTGTGGGACTGAGTTTGTTTGTGGCTCCTTGGATTGATGAAGTCCTTTGGATGAAGGACGAAACATCTCAAGAAAAAATAAACCTTCCAGAGGACCTGACTGAACTTTGTTGTATCCATCCATTACCGTTACCCTTTCTGGGTCAGCGGGGTCACTGCTGACCATATACAGCAGTCACTGCAAGAGGTGGAGGACACCCTGGACAGGTCTCCAGTCCATCACAGGGACACATAGAGACAAAGAAAAAAATATTCACTCTCTCACTCACACCTAGGAGCAATTTAGAGTTACCAATCAGCTTAACATTATTGTTATTGGTCTGTGGGAGGAAACCGGAGTACCTGGAGAAAACCATGCATGCACGGCCCTCAGCCGAGATCTAATCCAGCAAACTTGTCGCTGAGAGGCACCACCTTCTAAAATTTGACTTTCACATTGTTTGAGTTTCATAAAAAGCCTTATTTACTTACTCTACTTACTCTGCTCATCAGTGCAGTTTTAAATAAGATATTTATAGTAGGGGAAGGGGAGAAAATATTAGATCCTCTCTCTGCTCATTTAGTCAGTCTGGCTCCTCGATGCTATGACGTTCTATTATCTTTAGCACACAAAAAAAAATTTGTTCCAAAGCATAATGTTTAAACCTCCATGCTGGACTGTGGGGATGGTGTTCTAACATTTATATTCCTTCTAATATGATTGGTTGAGATGATGCCGGAGTTTGATTTTAGTATCATATGACAACAGCGCTTTCTCCCAAAGCAAGCTTAAGACCAGATCTGCAGGTGAAGGCAGATTTCAGTCCATTATAGTGTAGGCTGTTACCAATGATGTTCTTTGTGACTGTGGTCCTAACTTTCTTCTCTGTGGTTAAGGGCCAATCCTTTCCCAATTCTTATACTCATCCTCAGTTTGAGAGGAAAGATTTTGAATGTAATATTTGATGCTCTTTTTATGTTTCTTCCATTTCCAAATAATCAGACCAACAATTGTCACCTCCTCACCAAACTTCTTGCTTATGCCCATTCCAGCTTTGTGCAGAACTACAGGTGGAACAACCTGTTTCTGTAAAGATTTTATACAAACAAGTTATCAGGAGTGTCTAAAACTGATTGATAGTCATCTGTGTGCCATAAAAACACATAACCAATCTCTATGAGCCAAAGTTCTGTCTGTGTGGTATTTATTTCCCCTCAGTGGCCTGCAAATCCATTTTTTACTTTGGCTTTTTAGTTGATCTTCTCTGTGAGTGTGCAAACCTACAAATGTTGGAGTTCTAATGATTATTTTCCACACTGAATTGTTCCCTGCAGCAGTGATGAAGCAAAGCAACAGACGTGTTTTATTTCCTGTCCGTCTTTTCTTTCAGCACCTTATCTTCAACTCGTTAACAAACTGCCTCGGGCCTCGCAAGTTGCTCCACAGCGGTCGACTGCACAAAAGCAAAAGCAGCAGAGAGCTGTGGGCCTTCCTCTTCAACGATTTCCTCCTCCTCACGCACAGCGCCAAACCTTTCTCCTCCTCTGGATCAGAGAAGTTATTCAGCTCCAAAACCAACGTGCAGCTCAAGATGTACAAAGTGGTAAGCTGGTGGGGATGCAGTTTTTGTTGATGGTGGGTAGAGAAACACTTTTTTTTTTTGCTCCTAATGCCCCTCGTTCCTCTTCAGCCGCTGTTTCTGAACGAGGTTCTGGTGAAAATGCCACCAGACCCGTCGAGTGACGAGCCCCTTTTTCACGTCTCACACATCGATCGGGTCTACACGCTCAAAACCGAGACGTTAAGCGAGAGGTATGCACATACACAACTTGCACTCTACAACCAGACATCATGCAGAGTGGTCACATGTGATCACTTTTGTTTTATAACAGGACTGCGTGGGTCCAAAAAATTAAAGCAGCTTCTGAAAATTTCATAGAGACGGAGAAGAAGAAGAGAGAAAAAGCCTATCAAGGTTGTTTAAATACTTATAGTCAGTATGTGCTGCGTTTAGGTACCACGTCTAACATTGTGTTCATTTCAGCGCGCTCCTTAAAGACCAGTGGGATCGGCCGACTGCTGGTGACGGTCATTGATGCTCAGGAGCTCAAGGCCTGTAAGCCCAACGGTGAGACCCAGTGTCATGATTTCCTTCAGCTTTACAGATCCAGTTAGGCCTCCGTACTAAAGAAACATTTATATGTTCCTCAAGGTAAGAGTAACCCGTACTGTGAGCTGACCATGGGGGCTCAGTGTTACACGTCTCGGCCAGTCAGCGACACTCTGAACCCCAAGTGGAACTTCAACTGTCAGTTTTTCATCAAAGACATCTACCAGGACGTCCTGTCCATCACTGTGTTTGAGAAAGACCAGTTCTCACCAGACGGTCAGTGAAAGAGACATATTCATTCACACAACGATGGATCACTGTCCAGTATGTCCACTTTGTCCTGTTTTCAAACAGATGAACATAATCCCAAACACGATGTTCTGTCTGTCGCCATTCTGAGAAAGTAGAGGGAACATTTTGTTTTACAGGCTCATTTTCACTTCACTACATTCAATTGAAAGAAGTATATTTAGTTCCTGACTGCCATGTTGGAGGACATGTTCAGGACTTTTCTTCTAGATCAGATCTTCGGAGAAGTTTGCAGCATAGGCAGGAACCTTTGTCAGAAAAATTTATTTTTAAACAAAGATATACAGTAGTACATCGCTACTTAGCGGTTTGTTTATCGCAAACTCGCTCTATCGCGGTTTTTCAAAATAAGATTTGACATGACACACAATTGGGTGACTGATGGATGAGCCGCACGATCGGCATGGAATTTTTATTTAAAATAAATTGTGTAAAACTATTTAGAACCTGCTGCACCTTTGTGCAGACCATACTACAGGATAAACTTCCTGCTGCAGCTGATCAGCTGTTCTCGGTGCAAAGCGGAGAAGTGGGCGTGGCCAAGAATGCTTGCAAGTGGCAAAGAGCAGAGGAGGCAGGGAGCTGAAATCATGATATTCTGTGCTCTTTTAGAGCATTTAGGAACATTGTTTAGAATATTGCAAGAGTGTAAGAAGGGTTCAAAACACCTTCATATATATATGTATATAGTATATATAGTGGTTTTTCACTTATGGCAGGGCTTCAGGGTACGGATCCCCCGCAATAAACGAGGGACTACTGTAATCTCAAAGCATGTAGTCTGTAATCTGACATTTGGGTCTGAATGATGAAATGTCATATTATGAGGGAAAAGTGCAACAATTGCACCATCCCCCATTGCGGAGCAAAGAGGGCAATTGGAAATATCTTCCTTCTATCTGTCTTGTGAGCTGGATAACTTGAAAAATAAGTGTGTTACAGATTTCAATTTTAGTGAGTGGTTGTATCTAGGTGTAAGAAAAGTTTCTGTCAAAAACTGGGCTGACACATCAAAATCCAAGATGACCATCATATATATCGTATGTAAACCAGCCACCTCGATCATTTGAGAAAATGATGCTTTCTAGTTTTTATTTTGCTTAAAAGTTTAATTTCCTCAAATAATTGGGGTGGTGGAAGATTCATTTATGGTGACAAGGTTACATTCCACACACACACACACACACACACACACACCGCCCCATCATTGCTCTCTCTGCACTCACCAGGATCCATTACTTTGCATCACCTCAGACAAGTTAAAAAACCTACCACTGATCTTATACACAATGTAACTCCTACCCACTGGAATATCTTCATCCGTTAAAGTTTATTTACATTCCCTGTTCAATCCCAGTCCAGAAAACACTCATATTGAAAACTACAAATATTCAGTATTTAAATCTCTCTGTGACGGGGGGACATTGGCGTACTGCTTGTTAAAGGGATTTTCAGTCTGGATCTATCGGTCCAAACTCTGATTTCCCAGACTGGGAAATAAAACTCAATGAGTTTAAAGTAGAAGCTTTACTGTGCATCTACCTTCTTTTATTTATTCCACAAATTTAAAGTCCAATAGTAGCCTTTCAACGTAATATGTTTTTAATAAAAACATGTTTAGCATAAAAACTTTTTATGGTTAAAAAATAAAAATAAAACTAATGTTAGTATTAAAACTATAGGTAATAGTTTAGAGAAAATAAAACTGAGCTCACTAAAATATTGCGTCTTGCTCAGTTTTTATCGTCGCTACATTTTTTTATTAGCAAACTGATCAAATTCAGGACAGTAAGCCTCTGTATCTACTGAGGTATTTGCTTCACACTTTCGGTGTGACACACTGAGATGGTGAGTCTTGGACTTGAATGTTATTTCAGCAGCAGCATGAAATTATCCTCTTTTTTTTTTTCTCCTTCAGATTTTCTGGGTCGAACCGAGGTTCCCGTGGCAACCATAAAGAAAGACACGGAAGGCAAAGGAGCAGCGAACCGTCGCCTACTTCTGCACGAAGTCCCAACTGGAGAAGTGTCAGTCAAACTGGACCTCCAGCTTTACGAGCCGAGCAAATGAGCACCAACCGTTAGAGGTTTATTTGATTTTAAATGTGCGCTGAAAGTGCCTGAGTTCATTAAAATAGTCAGAATAATTACTTCCACGAGCCAACCAGACGTTTTATCACTGACCGCCATCCAGCCGAAACATAAAGAGCTGCTGAATCAGAATCTTAAAAAGAGAACTTTATATTCTAGTTTTGCTAAATGGCTGGGGTTTGTCAAATTTATATAAACACGTTAATATGATGTGTTGTTTTATTACCACTAATGCAGGAATTATTATACCTGCTGTATAGTTCCACTCTGCCTCAGGTGTACGTTTGGAGAGCACAACTTTACACTGTAATCCTGATATGAAGGGGTTTGATGATAAAAAATGTCACCGAATCCTGAAAGTGGCTTAAATAAAATATGTATAAATTATTTTGCTTTTTTATGTCACTAAAATACACTTTCAAGTAGTTTCCTACTGGAGACTGTGTTGGATGAGAGTTTATATGCACAAGTTTATTTGGAGCGGCTCAGCTGCTGCTGGTTGATGTTAACAGGAGGAGAACCAGCAGCCGGGCCGATGACACCTACCATCAGAAGTTGCACAGATGTGGAATGGTACGCTGTCAAGTCTGGATGAGAAAAACCTTTGTTCATTTGTGAATCCAACAGAAAACATAGACAAACTTACTGCAGCAGTTCTGAGCCTCGTCCTCCGGTAGATTTGTCATGGACGCAGGTGCCGGCTGGTTAGCTGAAGACAACGCAGCCCTACTGAAAGACTGGTGGTACTGAAAGGCTCCTGTACTTTTTATATCCTACGAAAGAAGGACTCATTTAAACAGGAAACAAAAAGTGGCACTGATTTGAACAAAAATAAAACTCTACAAGCACCAAGTCAGAAGTTGTGTTGATGAGATACCATTAAATTCACATTAGTTCAACATTTTCCCCTTAGTGAACAAATCTGTCTAGAATTTTGATAATTCAGCAGATAAATCCATGCTTATGTACCTGCTTTCATTAGAGGATGCTCTTTTCTTATTTTCGTCCTACAGCTGAAAACAGGACGTGTAGTTTAAATCGGCTGTTTTGATCTGTGCAGCATTTATTGGCAGCAGCACAATTTGAACGTTAAATGAAATGTTTATAGAACAACAAAAACCTTGGAAGTGTTGTGGCTTTTCAATGCTGAAGAGAAAAGGATCGTACATGTGTGGATTGTAGGTTTCAACAAACACAAAACTGCCACAAAAGAGGCTCAAACGGTTGGAGCAGCCTCGTGGTTCAGCTCTTCTCAGCATGAAGGGTTCACGTTGGAGGTGCAGCGTCTGAGGCAGTGGCTGCACAAGCTCTGGTGTCTCTTGTCCAGTGGACACATGTTCCTCCACTCTCCTCTGCAGAGCTCGGTCCAGCGCTCGTGGAGAAGCTGCTTCCTCTTCAGCTCCACAACGTCCCGCTGAGTGAGGAAGCACTCCACCTCCTCACAGAAGATGGATTTTAGACAAGAAACATGGAATAAAGCTGTTACGGTAAAGTTTTTATAAATCAAACACAACCTTGTGTCTTAACCTTCATAAATCCGTTTTCTGCATCCTGTAAAGGTTGGATTATTTCCTGGACCTGATGATTTTTAGCCTCAACCTTTGCCTAAATAATGATGGGTTATGTAAATTCAGCTTTTGCACTTATATATTAAACATATAGCAACACCTGCAGTTGTCTCAGAGAAATACGAGTCTGTCCCTTTTGGAGCCTCCCTCATTCCTTAATGTTACACTTTGACAGCTGCCCGTCTTCCTCCCGTTTGGTTGAGACAGACTTCTCGTCGTCATTGTTTTCACATCAGTCATGGACTCCTGACACATCGACTGAATCACGTCCTACTGTTTTTATTTATAACTACAAGAAAGCAAACTAGTGACTGACAACAGTGGGAATCCTGTAAACGTCTAAAATTACACCACAAATAAAGAGTTGAGCCGACAGATTAGGCTTGATGAATGAGAAGACTTCCAGCTATGAACTGAAACACGATCGAATGGTAAATGGACTGTACTTATTTAACTCCTTTACATCTTAACACACTCGAAGCTCTTCACAACACAATCGGTGCCCTCATTTACCCATTCATACAGCACACTACTAGATCTGTACAAAGACTAATCAGTGCTTTGTCACATTCATGCACCGATGGGACACACATCAGAGGCAATGCAAGGTTCAGTGTCTTGCCCAGGGACACTTCAACACGTGACTGCTGATGGAATCGAACCCCCAAGTCTTGCAGTGGAGGACGACTGCTCTAACCACACAGCCACAGAAAAAATGCCATATGTCCTTAAACATCGATTGTTATACATGATGATTTATTGTTTTGGACAGATGGGTCCTTTTGCATGTGTTCAAAGCTGCTTCTGAGATCCCAACACAGCAATGAAGGCTGCTTATGGGACAGATCTGGTTGGCAGGCCACAGACTGATGAAGACGTCCGGATGGAAGACGAAACGTTTCCCCCTTAAAGAAACTGGTCACGATTTAACCTCTTTTTTTATTATCAAAAATATGTTCAAGTTCAAGGTTCTTAATTGTAATTCGCATCACATGTGGCACATGAGGTGGAACAAAATTGTGTACACAGGATCCCAGTTACATCCAACAATAGCCAAAATATAAATTGTAAAAGAAACAGTACTAAGGATCAAAGATATAAACTAAGAAATACGCTAAACACTTAATAGTGCAAAATAATATGCCAAACAACAGCAGCACGAACATGAGTCTGTGTGAGTAGATGAGTACGAATGAACACAGAATAGATCAGCAGCACATCAACAATCAAAGTGGCATTACAGTGATTTTTTTTTTTTCACAGTGATTATCCTGAATAAGGATTCATGAGTCTAACAGCCTCAGGGTAGAAGTTGTTCCTCACTTTAGTGGTTCTAAACTTAATACTCCGCAACTTGCTGCTTGAGGGGAGTGGGGCAAAAAGTGTGTGCTGGGTGAGTGGGGTCCTTCATGATGCAGGTGGCCCTCTTTTTGCATCTAGAGGTGTAAATGTCTGTGATGATGGGGAGACTGACTCCAACAGACTTCTGTGCAGCCTTCACCACTCTCTGCAAAGCTTTTCTTTCTGCAGCCTCCATGCCACATGTTGATGCTGGAGCACAGGATGTTCTCCACTGCACACCTGTAGAAGGAGGTGAGGACTGAGCTTCCCAGACCAGCTCGTCTCAGGCGTCTGAGGAAGTAGAGTCTCTGATGAGCTTTCTTGATCAGGCTGGTGGTGTTGTTGCCCCAGCTGAGGTTGTCGTTCTGGTGCACACTCAAGTACTTGTAGGTAGATATCACTTCCACCGCAGACATCCCTATGTTCGGGGGGGGAAGGTGTGTTGTTTGTTTTGTCTAAAATCCATGACGATCTCTTTCATCTTCTTCACATTGATGTGAAGTTTGTTCTTCCTACACCAGCTCTCCAGGTGTTCCACCTCCTGCCTGTAGCTGGACTTGTTGTTTGTGATGCATCCAACCATCACTGTATCATCTGCAAACTTTACAATATTACAGCCTTTATTGGTAGGTTCGCAGTCATACGTGAGCAGAGAAAGGGGACTCAACACACAGCCCTGAGGGGAGCCATGTTTCAGTTTATTCAACAGTCTGACACTCTTCCATTTATACTCTGCCAATTATATTCTGATCCTTTTCATTGCTCTAATGATATACTCCAGACTCTGCATTATAACAACCCTATTTTATTTGTCTTCCACACAGAGCCTTGTTGCTGATGGTGGCACTCTGACTGGAATGTCCTCGTTATGGCGCTATGTGCGCTGCTGTGTAAATGGTGCATACTCAGAACAAACCCAATCTTGCACACAGAGTTGATCCTCCTTGAGCAAAGCTTGTCTGAGAACTCCACAAATATAAACACAGATTTACAGTATGGGCACCTGGCATGGATAAGAGCTCAAATACAAATCCACATTTTGTGGATAAAAGTGGATACTCAGAAGAGTTGATCTATAGCACAGGTTATATTTGCTTGACCATACAAAGGATAAAGTGGTTGTAGGAGCGGATTGCTCTAGGCCATGACTTGCAGTGGAGCTGCAGGTCTTAATACGCTGCTGACAGTTGATGTGCTCTTAAGGTGTCCACTTAGACACCCTCTCAGAAAGCGAGTACGGGATGCTTGGGTATTAAGTGTTCGACGACAGGCGGGGCAGGGCTTGGCCAGGTCACAGCTCGTCTTTGCATAGCTCTTTCTTTTTGTGGAAGGGTCCAGGACGGGACAGGGCAGGACAGAGGGGGAGGCTACATGGATTGGTGGACTTGGTTGACTGCGTGTATTGCCCTGCTCTGGATATGCTGTTTTATAGACGGTAAGACTAAACAGTCAGTAGAAATTTAGGACATTTGTTTTGTCTCTTATGTCTTTTTTAGGTTGACTGAATATGATTTCTTTTAGTTGGAAAACGTGGTCAGAGTGGTTTAAAATATTTGCAAGGGTTAGGCCAACATTTCTCTAAAGATGGACTGACCAAGGATCAGAAATGTGTGTGATGCACTTGGACTTTTTATAAGAACATAAACAGATTCATATCCAATGACAGCAAAGACAATAAATCTACAGCTTGAATAGAATTTCCATCCAGTTCTGTGACAGGTCTAACATTAGTGAAAAACATCTCATGTATATTTATTGTTAAAACGCTTGAAAGTTTCAAGTCTAGCTCACACGTTTCATCTTCCTCTCCAGTAAATGAGACTTTGAGGCAGAGAGCACATTAGCATTGAAGCGGTGAGATTTGCAGGCCGCCGTGCACAAAGCTGCAGACTTTAATCCAGTGGCAGACGCTGTTTGTAATGGTTTGTGACATTAGTCACCGTGGTAAATTAGTCTCCATCTGACCCGGTTATACGGTCTTATCTCCAGGTAACGCCGTGCTTGAGCTGCGGCTGCTCTTCCATGCTCTGACCAAAGCTGCTTGCCACTTGTACCTGGCCCTGCTCCCGCTGCGCAGGGCCGCCACCCACTTTGCCGACGGCGTCAGGTACCTGCTCACCCATGCCCAGCAGAGCCCGCCGCCCCAAGGCTACGTCCACCAGGGCCAGCCGCTGGCCAAGAAGGGCACGCTGCACTTCCTGGAGGGCGTGTGCGTGGTGTGCGAGACGGTGCCCAACCTGATGGGCGCGGCGCTCAGCGTGGGCGCCGCCTTCTGCCACATGCTGCAAGGGGGGTTCTACATCCTGGCCGCCACCCTCCGCACCATCCAGATCAACCTGTTCTCCCAGATGAACGGTGAGAAGGAGAGGTGGGACAGGGAGCGGACCAGAGCCAAGGAGAGTGAGAAAAAGATGAACTGTAAAGTTCTAGAGTACATCTCCGTGTTCTGTCAGGACCCTGTGAGCGCGCTGCGCATCAAGGTCGACGTGCCGCCTGTGTACAGATAATCTCCGTCCGGCTAACGCGATATTCACCACTTAACTGGCACATGAGAGGCCTTCGGACTGGATCGAGGTGCAGACGATTAATTTGATCTGACAGGAAGCTGAACTTTGACCTCTGGTTGACAAAGAATCAAAGAAAGTTAAACGTGAAAGAGGAAAACGATCCATGGTGCGTTTTGTTACATCTGATGTGCATTTATTGAAATGTAAAGAAACTCAAATAAATGTCTGAAACAAATTACATCTCTCGTTTTAATAAAATACTTCATTTTTCCACAAAATCATTCAGAGATTTAAAGCTATAAAACTAGCTTACAGTTAGGCGTCTTAAATCAGTTTAGTGATTTAACTTTCAAATACAGTAATTAGGTTTATTTTAAAGTGCATTTACAACAATCAGTCCACCAAAATATGATAAATCACATCAACATAATTCACCTTATCAGATATAATAATAATCAGCATGTAATGATTCTTCAGGAAATAAAAGATTAAACATAAACAAACAAGGATAAATTCTGATGTGTGGTAAAATAAAATAAAATATCTAAATATAAAGATTAAATTCAGCAGGAAATATTTCTAATTTCCATTTGTTAGGGTTCACTTTTTTAATTTTAGTCAGTTTTCAAGAAAATATTTTATCAAATATTTTCTTAAACATTTATTAAATTTATGAACATTAATTTATGTTTTCAGTTTCTCAGCTGTGAGAAATGAAAAAAATCAAGAGCAGCAGCTAAAGCTATAAAAACAATAAAATATATTGATGTAACTACAGTATATACTGCAACTGTATGAACTACTAACTTCTACTTGTATGTAGAAAGGTTTAGCAACACTTTATTTAAAATATATACCAAAATTTAAACTGGAAAATTAATAAAAAGGTCAGTAAAGTATTTTGATATTTTCCATCTTTATTTTATTTATTCCAGGGTTGGGTTGGGGACTTTTATTTTTTTCTGCTTTTTTTTTTCATTAATTTTTGTTATTTGAACATTTATCTGCTGTTAAATTGTCATTTCCACATTTAAACCACATTTTTATTTATTTCTTCATTTTTGCTATAATTGTTCTTCATACCTCCTTTTCCAGGCAATTTTTTTTAATTATTATTTCTTGTTGTTTCTACTTTTATTTTCTTATTGACAGATTTATTTTTTTCTGTTTTCTTGTTTTGATTTTTTATACTCCTGTTGTTAAAGAGAAAACTCAGATTTTAAAACCGACACTTTTGTGTCAAAGTTTTGTTTCTTTTTTTTTGCCGTAGCAGAAACTGACTGAAGGTTGAAAGAACAGAACGGTGGAACGAGTCAGAAACAGAACCGTGAGGTGACACCACAACGGATCCGCTTCAGCTCAGACTACAGCCTGGCTTCAGGTGTGGCCTGAAGGAGCTGCGGAGGAATTTTTCCACCTACAGCAAGAGGAAAGAAATAAAATCTATCAGGCAGGCGGTGTGGTAAAACAAAAAATTAACTAGAGAAAGTGCATTCCCTGCAAAGGTGCAGTGTGAATGCTGATTGCAGAAGAACTTGCTGAGAAACAGCTGAAATTGGCTAAAAAAAACATGCTGAAATGTAGCTGAAGTGAAGAAGAACTAGCCTAAAGTAGCAGAAGAAAACAGAAAGAACACATATTTGCTGAATTAGGTTTAAATAAGCATAATTGAGTACAAAAATGAAGAAATTAGCTAAAAAAAAAAACTGAAATGAGCAACAATGGCTGAAAAATAGCTGAAAAGGCTTATACTACCAGAAAAAAGCAGAAAGAGCTGAAATGAGTTTAAAAAAAGTGGAACTGGCTGAAAAAGCAAAAAGTAGCATTAAAACAGCTAAATAGAGCTGAAATAGCAGAAAGTAGCAGAAAAAGCATAACAAGGTTAAATTAGCATAAAGAAGTTAATATTAGTCTGAAAGTAGCTGAAATTTCCACGAAAAATTTGAATTTGTCTGAAAACAGCTGAAATTAGCTAAAAAAAAAAAGCTAGCTATGATTTGTTGAAATGGTTTGAAAACTGCAGAACAAGAGTCACGCCAAAACATATACGGAAGAAAAATGGATCACAAAAGTGTGAATGCTTCATAAGCGTTCACACAATAACAAGCTAAAACAATAAACTTGAATGCAAGACAAAAACAAATAAATAAATAAATCTTTATCTTACAGAGCACGTCTCCGGCTCTTCTCACAGCTGCCTTGTTCACTTTGTGTTCGCTGTTCTCAGATCTGTGATCGGACAATACAAAACTGATTTGAGAATCAATATCCAGCGTTGCTCACCAACCTGAGAAAATAATAAAACAGACTCCAGGAACGGATCACTCACGCCTTCATCTTCGTCACGGCCCCCAGTCTTTGAAGAGCCGACAAAACGTTTTTCTGAATGTTTGATGAAAGGACCTCATAGGTATGAAGTTCACCTGCACCGAAGAAAAAATAAACAACCGTGTGAGTTATTAGAAGATGCACTACCTGGAAATGATCTTCAAGATTAGAGCTAATTATTATTTTTGTTTTATACCCGACAGGATGAGACTTGTAGCTCGGGTTCGAACACCTTGGAGGAACTGTTTCTCTGTGAAAACGTGATCTGCCTCTTCACAGAGATACCTGAACATCAGCTGGACATAAAAAACTGATTAAATCTCCTCTTCTGCATCCAGTTAGAGCTGAACACTCATTTAATGATTATAAATGAATAAAAGCTAACTTTGGTATTGACTGAATGCATTTTTATGGCACTTTTCGCTAAAACCAGCAACACCACATAAGTAGTTGGGTTTTGGGGGGGGGGTGGACACTTTCAGTCTTTTACATCAAAACATTAATTGGATACTTATTTTATGTTTCAACAATAAAGATAATAAAGAGAGCAAAGAAAGAAATGGACTGATATGACTTGTCTATTAAATCTTAAAGGGATACTTCTGATCTGAGTTTGTTCAAGGAGCCATCTACAACAGGTAAGACATTAACTGTTCATAACATTTTTACAGAGCCCCACTAGTAAAAAGTCTGAACTACTGCTTTAATTAAAACAAGATTATTAGAAATATTAAGGCACCTGATAGGAGTCTATGAAGGGTTTCAGCAGCTCCTGCAGGAACGACAACACCTCCAGCCCTGGTTCTGAAGCCATCACCTCATGGTGACTCGTGTGGACTGCTCCACATTTCTTCAGAACACAGCACGCCTCCTCAAAATCCTGATGAAAAGGAAGATAAACACAAATCTGACATTACAAATAATACACAAATATTAGCAACAATATAAAGTGTGTAAATGTGTAATAACTCAACAGAAGAGCATCGTTTTCAACACACTATTAGTGACACCTTATTAAAATCTGGTGAATTCACATTTATTTTTTTAAATGAATTCAAAAAGTGAGAAGTTCGTTTTAACACGGCAGCAGCACACAGACACTGCAGATGTTTGGAAAGTCTTTCAAAGCAGCGAGGGATCGTGTATCTAGTTTGAATCTACAACCATAAACGCAGCAAGTTACTGAAAGTTGATGTTTGATTTGTGGAGCAGGTGGTAACTGATCATTTGGGTTTGAACTGAGCATGCCCACTACGAGAAATGAGGAGTTAAAAATAACGCTTTATCCAGAGAATAAAGCTGAACTGAGCTAGAGGCTGATGTGGTTACCTGTGATGATCTGCCAGGGATGAAAACGAACTCGTTTGAAAAAACATCGAGTAAGAAGCAGAAGTGCGCGAGGAGCTCGTCTGTGGAAAGAAAAGTGGATCTCAGTGCGCTCGTATCACACAGCGCTTTAATAACTCTCACACTGACTGACTCACCTCTCTGAGTGCTTTTTGTGACGCTCATAGCCGTAGCGAGCATGGCTGGACGGGTGAACACATGCAGAGACTGATTCCGGTATGAAGCCAGCATCAGAGCGGCGGCTGCCGTCCTCGTCACGCCCTCCTCTGGATTGACGGGGTGTTTCCGCTCAGGCTCCTCCTCCCGAACCAGGTAGACACGCCCCGCTTTACGCTGAGCAACAGAGCGATGGAGCGCCACAGAGGAGGACATCACATCCGTATCAGGAACGTGCTCTGATAAACATGCAAACAAATTGTTTATGTTCATGAGGGAATATCAGAGGGAGGTTTATGTGTCTGAATGTGTTGAAGGAGACTTGTGAAGTGAGACCGTTCAGTGGGGGGGGGGGGCCTCTCAAGATAAGTTACTTAACGTGTAGTAATCCACTGAACGTGTCCTGAGTGAACGTGAACGCTTGTGCCAACTCACATTCATCTAATCTGTCTGATCTACTCCAGAGCAGATCAAAGCCTAAAGGTGGAGGAAGGAAACCTGCTCTGCTTTAACTTCACTTAGAAAACTGAAAAACAAGCGCCACCTACTGGTCAAATGAAATATCTTAAATAATAAATAAATAAATAAATCTTGATATATATATTTTTTTCCAGTTTTAATTCTAATCTTGAGGGCAATATAATTTATAAGGATAATAACTGTAATGGGAGCTAACTGTGCACTACCAAACCCACCAGGCCAGTTTATTTGAGCTCCAAAGTCCAGCGCCAGCTTCCTGAGCCAGAGGGTTCTTTCTGTGAGCTGGAGCCACAGCAGACCCTCCTCTGTTAAAACTGAGGGGGGAACCTGGACCAACAGGCAGGACATAAGGGACCAGGGGCTGATCAGAGTGCCCTCCTCCTGGATCCGGACCATCAGATGAGCCAGCCAGCTCACGCAAGCCTGAGTCTCTGTACTGGGCTTCTGAGGAAGATCTCTGAGAAAAGATCAAATCAGTTCAAAATACATTAAAAAAAATTCAGAAAAGACATGCTAAATCTGTTCATCAGCTCTTTTTATTTTCCTCCAAGCATTTTTCCCTACCTGGGTATGAGGTTGTACTGGCAGCGATTTATCTTGCCCTCACACAGCTGTCGGACAGACAAGGGACGACCAAAGTTCACATGCATGCTGCCGTAACGCTTCTGCAGAACTCTGCTGGCCTTCAGCAAACCCTGCAGAGAAAGGAGGAGACGCAGAATCAAATGACACGGTTCCTCCGACGAACTCGAATAAGATCAAAATGTTATCGTTTACAGCCACAACAGCTCTGCAAGTCCTGATTTTAACTTGTGTCAGCGTGCGTGCGTGTCACTGTGACAAAATGTGGTCATGTTGACTCCTGCGGTAACTTTGCTTGTGTCTGTGTGGACACACAAACTGTTGTCATCATTTTAAAAAACGTATTAAAACTTCCCTGTGGCGTTCACACCAAATGAACGAAGAGTTTAAAGACGAGTGTGTTCTGACCTAGAAGAGATCATTTATTAACTGTGGTGTAAATTATTCTATAAGCCCCTCAACCTGAACAACCTACCTGCAAATAAAACAACCTACATGTTTTCTTTACTTACAGCTCTAAAGAAAAAAGTCCAATATCATTTTTTGTTTGCGTGTGTGTATTTTATGGTATAAACTCTCAGAAAACGTCCAGTACAGAAAGAAAAGGCTGTGATTGGAATAAAGAGTTTTGATGTTGCTTTGAATTATTCTTTTTTTTTAACTTTATTTGCTCTCCTCCTCCTGAACTTTGTGTAGTGAGAATTGAGTTCAAGACATGTTGGGGAAAAAAGTGCTGTACCAACAGATGCTGGGCTACATTAGGTCAAATGCAGCTAACAGTATTAGCATCAGTGAGCTGATCCGTGGAGTGGGAGCACAAAATGCAAAGGAGTTAAAATAGTCACTCCGTGTTAATAACCTCAACTGAAAGAAAAGCACTGCTTTTGGTGTTTTCCTATAGACCAGGGCTCTGCAACCTGCGACTCTGGAGCCACATGTGTTTCTTTAGTCCCTCCGCAGCGGCTCTTTCAAGCTTTGACCAAAACTAACTTAAAACTGAATTTTATAGGATGTTATACCCACAACAAAAAAATGACTAGCTTTAGCAGTTTTCCTGTCATTTCCTTTACAAATATGTGGATACTAGTACTAATACACAGAGTAAATTATACTCTCTGTAACATTGTGCTTTATTTCTTCAAAGTAGGATACTCAATTAATCCACAATTTCTTTTTAAAAATGCATAAGTCTGCACAGCCCGTGACCCAAAAATGGAAGAAGCCGGTAAAAGATAATGGATGGATGGATGAAGTCTGCACAGTTTGCTTTTTTTTTCAGTTTTTTAAAAACTGGCTTTTTTTTTTTTCTTTAAAGAACCCAGTCTTCTGTGATAGACTTGTGACCTGGATGTGGGCACCAGTGACCCCCTGCAACCTGAAAAGGAAGAAACAAGTAAAGATAATGGATGGATGGATGGATGGATGGATGGATGGATGGATGGATGGATGGATGGATGGAT